CTTTAACCAAGGCAGTAGGAAAAGGTGGAGATAAGCAAGTGGATTCCAGTTATATTTGGATTTAGAATCAGCAAGGCTTAGAGAGTGATTGGAAATAACGGGTGGGCAAAGAGTGTGAAGGGAATTGAGAGTCCCAGGTTTCTGGCTTAGACACACAGGTGGCTGACAGTGCCACTTACCAAAATGGAGATGCAGGAAGAGAAGCTGATTTGGTAAGGCCAAGGGTGAGTTTAGTTTTGCATATATTGTGCTCAAGGTGACTGTGGAAAATCCAAACTATACAGTTGAGTATGTGCATCTTAAACCCCTGGGTGAAATCTGAACTGTGCATATTTGGGATACACACGCAATACATACACCCACACAAAACAAAGTGTGTGTGTGTGTGTGTGTGTATGTATGTTGTGTGTGTATCCCAAACAAGTGCAGATGAGGTCACCCAGGGCTAGCATAGAGCATGCAAAGACAAAAAGACAGAACCCCAAGGAACCTTACGTTACCCATATGTACTATCTAATTTTTCTTTTTTTTTCCTCTCTTTTTTTTTTTTTTTTTGAGACGGAGTCTCACTCTGTTGCCCAGGCTGAAGTGCAGTGGCACGATCTTGGCTCACTGCAAGCTCTGCCTCTGCCTCCCGGGTTCATGCCATTCTCCTGCCTAAGCCTCCCAAGTAGCTGGGACTACAGGCACCCGTCACCACGCCTGGCTAATTTTTTGTATTTTTAGTAGAGATGGGGTTTCACTGTGTTAGCCAGGATGGTCTAGATCTCCTGACTTCATGATCCGCCCGCCTCGGCCTCCCAAAGTGCTGGGATTACAGGCATGAGCCACCGTGCCTGGCCTAATTTATCTTTTTAACAACACCATGAGTTAAATTTTATCTTTTCTGATGCAAATCAAAGAAAATGACTGAGGTGAGTCACAATGATTTTAGAGGTTTATTTTGCCAAGGTTGAGGACATACCCAAGAAAAAGGAACACAAAACCACAGGAACATCTGTGATCTGTACTTTTTCCAAAGAGGTTTGGGAACTTTGACATTTAAAGGGGAAAGAGCGGGCAGTAGGGGAAAGAGAAGTGAAAAAAAGATGGGGAAGGCTAGATAAAAAGGGGGAAGCAGTGTCATTGTTTTGAGTCTTTGATTGGCCTTCACTGAATCCACGTTTTACACGTGAAAGGAGGGGATCGAGGAAGAGTCAATTATTCATTCATCTCATGCTCTGTGAATCTGCATTGTTACATAAGATAAAGTAAACGTAGAGTAGAGGAAGCAGTCAAACATGCATTCATCTCAGGTGAGTGGAGAGATGACTTCTGGTTCTGTCCTTGGTTCCGTATCTGTGAATGTAAGCTGTTAATTTACATTATCAGGGTGAAATTCAACAGAACTGATTTAGGGCAAAGATCTTGGGGCCCACAAGGAATTGCCTTGTGAGCAAATTGTGAGGGAGGTATGTAGCCTTTTATCTTTGTAACTATTTAAGAACAAAATGGGAGGCAGTTTGGCTTGACTCAGTCCCCAAGTTTGACTTTTCCCTTTGGCATAGTGAGTTTCGGGGTCCTGAGATTTTAATTTTCCTTTAACACTGTTTTCTCCACAGCTGAATGATGAGACAACCATAGGCATTTCCCAGTTCCCAGTCTCAGGAGGCCTATTTGTGTAACGTCTGGGACCTTTTGCCAAATCAGCTTACATGTGGGTTATACATTTATCACACGAGGCATCCCTGCTGTGTGAAAGCACATGAAGAAATCTTGAGTACTGTCATGAAGCCTCCTTAAAAATGCTAGTATGAAGTATCCTACACAGGTTAAAATGAGAACCTTCACTCCCATTTTTACAATCTTTAAAGTAAGGCTACTTGAGCTGACACTGCAGTTTCGATTGAAAGCCAAGAAATTTATCAACATGGTAAAAGTCAAGTTATAGGACCCCAGAGATCAAACAGGACATGGAGGTTTTCATACATGAAAATAGTCTTTGGTCCACAAAGGTGAGAAAAGTAATAAAATTCCCACAGGTTTCTTCTAGTAAGATAAATGGTCAGAAGAAAATATCACAAATGCAAAGTATTGTGCTATTACTTTTAGTACCTTTCTTGTAGGAAAACATAGGAAGAAATAGAATATATTCCTGTAGAATCTTTAGAGAAGCTTTCCATGTGGGCTGATCCCAAATACTAGGACAGAGTACAGGCTTTTGAAAGGAACTTTTAAAAATAATAGATGTGTCTTTTTCTTTTGAAAATTGTTATGTTGTGTGGTTTTAAAACATTTATAATCTTGAAACAGAAATCCACTGAAGTGCAATAATTTTATTGTAGAATAGACTGAAAACAATATTTAACCCAGCAACTGGGCATCAAAGTGAGAAAGATTATATGCTAGAATGGCACATGGGGCATGTTCCATGGTCTGCATTGCTGACTGCCACAGAACGCGTTGGGAGCAGGCTTGAGGCTTTCTGTGTCATTGTGTAAGTACTCATAGACCACTTAGCCATGAGATACAACTTGTACATTTATATAAAGGAGAAAAGAAAGTCATTTTCCAAGTTAGTTTCCACAGCAACAATATTCCATGTTTTCTTCTTCTGTGTCTAAACATGAGCACGCCTCAACTAGTGGGTGGAATATAATTCTTGCAAAATACCAATTAAGATCAACCATGTGCGTGAAAGCTTCAGTGATCACATTCATTCAACAAGCACTGATTACAAGCCTACCCTAGACCAGGAACTGTGGGAGACCCTGGAGATGTAGAGAGGAAGAAGCCCCGAGGTCTGCCCTCTAGATCCTTGTGTGCAATGAGAAAGAGCCAGGTAGAAGGCTGAATTAATAGAATGTGATAAACTGCTATAATGGAGATACATTTGGAATATTAGGAGGGGGCAATTAACCAGCCCCTAGAAGTCATGGACATTTGACCTAGATTTTGAATTTGAAAGAGGTATTTGACCTTGATCTTGAATGATCAATAAACTTTTACAAATTGGGGAGGAGAGATGGGAAGGTGGGCAATGAAGACAAAGGCTAATGTATGTTCAAAAACATACAAACTGAACAAATAGAGGTATGGAAGAGCAAAATCATTGAGAAAGGACAGGGTGGAGGGGGTGAGAAAGAATAATATGAGGCTATGAAGTAGGCTGAGGCTGTTTGGGAAGCACAGTACATACCTAACTAAAGTGTTAGGATTTGATCTTGTAGATGATGAGAAACCACCAAACCTAATAATGCAGAGGTATGATCAGTTTTATGCTATTAGAATATTCACATGAGCTGCACAATAGACAATGAAAGTAATTGAAAAAGTTGGGAAGAATGAAGGCAGAGTGATCTCCCTAAGATCTCATAGTTTATCTCAGGGTTTGAGAACGTACTGGGATGTAAAAACATGTGCATATGCTTTGGATCCTAATAGAGTACTCAGCAAAAGTTAGTTCTCTCTTTCCCTCCCCATCTTGTTTAACCCCAGACTTGGCAGCTGAGCTACTGTTAATCCTTTTCTGAGATTTTGCGGATGAGGATTTTAGGCATCAAGAGAAAAATTTGTGGCCCAAAGTTACAGAGCTAGGAAGTGGCAGGGCTAGAATTTGAATCCAGGCATTCAGACACCAGAGGCAGGGTGAGTAATCACCACACTGTCACCTTTAGCTAAGTGAGAGATTTGTTGTAAGGATTAAGTGAGAGGATATATGTTTGTTGCTGAGATGACGATATAGTTAGCCATTTGACTGAATCCTTACTCCTCCCCCAAAGCCTGTCCTCCTGGTCTGTAACCTTAATCTGGTCAGTTCCCATTTTTCAGAGTCCCACATCAGCCCTCATAGTCCTGTACTTACCTTCATCCCAAGGTTAGAATTGCTCTCTACAGTCTTTGTTGCACTTTCCTTTCTAATTTCAGGTCCTAACACCTTCTCTCCCATGTGTTCTCATGTAATACCCCTCTAAATGGCCCTTTGTGAAACGTCTGGCCCTCTTCATATAGATCCTGGTACTCTTTCCCCCTGAAGTAAGTTTTCAAAGTGGGAATACCACAGAGCCTCTCTTGACCAGAGATCTTGTTTGTTAAATAGATATTAATCAATGTTGCTGAGATGCCACTCTACCTAAAACTGCCCCACTCAAAATTCTGAGATTTGTGACCCAAGAGGATCCAGTCCAGTGACCAATTCAATCCTCTCTCTCTGTCTCCCTGTCGGACTTAAACTAGAGACTGAGATACTTAGTCCATCTGAGATGCTGGAACTTGCAAGTCAGGTGGAGCAGAAGCTTGGGCTCTGCTCCTGAACCTGCTGAAGTTGGACTACAGAGGGGAGGGTTGAGGGACTGTGTAGCCCCTTACCCTTGGTTCTTGGCTTTAATGGATATTGACTCTCTGTCAAGCCCTTGGGATCTGACATACATTCACTATATGTTTCCATTGAGCTTTCCTTCTGGGGTTGTGTCATTTTGAGTGGGTTTCTGTTTCTCACATTCAAATATTTCCTAACTCTGCTACAGAACTATGAGTGGTGTTGTCATATATGAGTTGTGTGTGTGTTCAATTATAAACCCCATCAGAGCCAGATAAAAGGAATTTAGGGGGAGTGATGGAATCCATATTGAGACTTGGCATCCAAAGTGGGTTTCTTTTCTTTGCTCATAGCTTGTAACGATATTGTAAAAAAGGGTGCTTCTGTTGCCACCTAATTTTTTCCCTTTTAACCTCTCAGGGTAGCCTATGACAAAGGACTCTAGAAGAACAATTCTCCACTTTTATTTGGCTTAAAATATTTGGCCAGCCTTAGCCTAACAATTTTGGCCGATATGAGAGCTAATTGTGGGGACTAATTATTTGAAGTCCTAAGAACTATGGTACTAAGGAACATAGACAAAGAGTGGGGGCCACCAATAAATTTTAGGATTCAGATGCTGCATCTGTTTGTCATTGTTGTAAGCCTGTGTGTGTGCACGCACACACACACCAGGATTCTACCACACGAGACAGCACCTGAGTTTTTAAAATATGTCCTTTTTTATTTTGACAGTGAGCTATGCCAGGTGGTCAATTTGAATGACCATTAATCAGTGCAATGAGGTGTCAAAGAAGGCAGAAATCATTAGGAAGGTATTGTCTCTGGAGGGTTTTGCAATTTTCCAAATTTATTTTTATCTAAAGAGACTCATGAGGCTCCACAGTGACATATGTGTCCTATTTACTTCATCAGAACCAGGGTAGCTAGGCACAGATGCACCCGATGAGGGATGAGCTATATCAGGCTGGGGGGAGCTGCATTCTCAGAGGTCAGGTCCGATTGCAGGGAAGGGTTGGCAGAAGGGCAGCAAGAGGATATCATCTCATCTAAGGGTTGAGTGTTAGGTAGGGGTACCCGGAGAGGGATGAAGACCTTGAATATCACCGGGTCTCTGGAGACTGGTGTCACGGGAGTACAATCCTGTCCTGGAAAGGGTAGCCAGAGCTCAGCAGTGGGATGGATCTGTCTGCATCCTCAACAAGGAGAGTTTCCTACATGAAAAAAAAAAAAAAAACCACCCAGTTTTAAAGGGACACAGCTTGGCTTGTCACCCTCAGATCTCTGAGCATTGTGATTAAACTGTAAAACTGTCATAAAAGGAAACATGAAGATTAATAGATAATATTCTTTAGCACTTTAATTTTGTACATTTCAAAATGCAAGAAAATGAATTTCCTGGCCTCTCACCGAAGGAGATATAAATAAATAGCAATCGAGGTTCTAATTTCCTGAGAATTTTAATAAAGAGAAATATTTATGGTTTAAAATTACCCCCGAAATTATGCATCGAAGAATAGATAGTTTATGACTTCGGAGAACAAAAAGAAACTTGCAAATTCTTGATGTTGGCAGATCAATTAAGTGGTAATACATGCTACATTATAATTTTAATCACCATGAAATTAAAATATGGTAATGAATGTTAACACGACTTTATCCTTTCAAACTATGATTTAATTTATGGAACTTTTCTTGACTACTTCCTTATTTCCTTGGTTACTTTTCTTGCTCTGCATGCTACTTTAGATTATACACTTTCCAATGCACATTATTTAAGACAGCCACCAATTAAATGAGTTCTTCTTCCTTTATCAATTAAGGATCTTGTAGATAATTTTACTCTTTTTAGTCTAGTTCTTTCTGCCTCCCTGTATAAAGTATGCAGAGAATTAGAATAGTGCTCTCTTAATGTCTCTTCTTGGTTTTAATTTTTTTTATTTTTTCCAGTAACACGAAAGGCAACCCAAGTGTGAGCTTGCTCTCTTCAAGGGTCTTCTTCCTCTAACATCTGGGGCAGGGGAAGAGCTTGTTCTTGGCATCCACATGCCAGCTACTTGGATATGGTGCTGCTCCTCCTGCCTCCCCCATTCCTTCCCTCTGCCCAGGGATGCCCCCACCCCACACGCACCTCAGCAGATGGATGGTGTTGCAAAGACCACGTTTCCCTTTGCTCCTCAAACCTCTAATTCCCAGCACCTCACTTTCAAAGCTCCATGCTGAGATGTTTAAAAAGTATCTCCATAAGTGAAGAGAACTGTTTAATAGTACACTGAAAATGACTCAGATGGTAAGGAAGAAGAACAACAAAAAATTTTAAACCCTTCTCTGTTTTTTCCCTAACACCCAGTACGTGCTGTCTTTTCCAACACCACCAAGTCTCCAATTCCGCTACACTACCTGGGTGTTCAGCAATTCAATTCAATTCTGAGACTAACTCTCCACAGTTAGTGCAGTTTCTACAGGTTAAGGGCTCAGACCCAGAAGACTGTCCCCACTTCAGATGCCAGTCACAAGGCCCAGGTTTCCATCTATATTTCTGAAGGACCTGCTATAAATTCAGTGGTTCCAACTCCCTCTTCAGGTTTGCTAATTTGCTAAAACAACTCATAGAATTCTGGGAAGCACTGTACTTACTATTACTGGTTTATTATGAAGGAATACAGTGCAAGAGCAGCCAAGCAGAAGAAATGTAAAGGGCAAGGCATGGGGGAGGAGCACGGAGCTTCCAGTTCCTCTCCACCCTCCCAGCACTTCTATGTGCTCAACACCCTGGAAGCTCTCTGAACCTCCTTGTTTAGGAGTTTTTACAACCCAGTCTTCAGACCTCCGCTTCTCCCCAGAGGTCAGGAGGGTTGGAGGGGTAGTGCTGAGAGTTCCCACCCTCTAATCGTTTATTTGGTTATTTGGGTTTTCTAAGGACCAGCCCTATATAGTGAAATTATCTAGGGATCCCAATTCGAGTGACCTCATTAGCATTGACTCAGATGTGTTGGAAGGCGCTTGTTATGACTAACAAAGGACACTCCTGTCACTCGGGAAATTCCAAGGGTTTTAGGAGCCCTGTGCCAAGAACTGGAGACAAAGATCAAATATATTTTTATTATACCACACCTTCCCAGAGGACCCACTGTATCTTATCCAAGGTTTTCTCCTTTCATCTTGAGGTCAACACTCCTGTTTCTCCATCTTCTTCAACTCTCTGCATGTGAAACCACACCCCATCCCCACAGGTGGGAACCCTCAGCCTCTCCCCAAAGCCGTTGATCTAACTCCAGAATTCATTCATTCCTCCCAACCAGGTAATCCCCAGGATCACAATAACCCTATTTCTCAAATGCTTTGTTTCAAAGTCTGATTTATTCAGCCAAAAATGCAGTGACATGGGTGGGGAGTAGCGGCTTGACGGTTGAGGGCTGAAGCAAGTCAGTCTTGAATAGTTTTCTGCAACAAAACCAACGTCATTTCCTGTCTCTACATTAAAAAATGCTCAAACCATGCACACTTCCTGGGCCTGTGATAAACAACATTGAGACTAAGAAAAAACAACTTAGTTGCCTGCTCCAGGAAATACCACACCTTGCAAGATGAGGCTATGGATCAGCTAAACAGTTAAATTATCAAAACTAAACATACTCATTAAAACTCACATCAGCATCCTAACCTCACTGCACTCACCAATCTAAAGCCATTACGCGATAAACTGTACCCAATCCTATCCTAACTAGTTCCTTGACTAGCAAGATTTGCCTTAAAATCACCCAGTCCAGGCCCTTGTTAGATCTTCTGATGGCTGCCCGTCAGCTGTAGGATAAAGTAAAAACTTCTATAAATTTATATGTTTGCCTGAGCAGCCTTATTTCCATCACTCCAAATTTCACACTTTATTCCAGAACTCTGAAGAATTTGTAACCTCCCCAGCATACACATACATGCCAAGATGTTTCGCATTTCCATGTCTTATTAATTTTTCTCATTGTCTTAAATACCCTCCTTCTCTCCTCCTTGTTGCCTTGGATAACTCCTACTCAACTTTTATTAGTCCAAGGCCTCTCTTCAGGGATCCTTCTCTGAGCCCCAGGCTAGATCAGATGCTCTTCCTTCCTCTTTTCTCCTTGTGTGTATATCACAAGCTTCCCACTTACAGCACTGCATTGGAATGGTCAGCTTTTATGTGCTGCCCTGTCAGCAGAGCTCTAAGAACAGACATGATGTCTTACTGAGCGTTACAGCTCTCAGGACCTCATGGTTCTAGGAACCTAGGAATGCACAAGTGGTACATGTTGAACTGAACCGAACTGGATTTGGCCATCAGAGTTGTGGTGAATATTTTTCTTCGTTTATTGTTCACCTTTAATTTGGGTCGTGAAGGGTTTTGACATAATTTTAATTTTTATGGAGTCAAACCTATTGATCTTCATGTGGTTTCTTCTATTGATTTTGAGCTTAAAAAGTGAAGTACTGGATTTTAAAGAGACTTCATGACTTACCTAAGAAAATCTGCAACCTCATCCTTCTCACTGGGAATAGAAAAACAGCATAAGGCAGAAGAACAAGGAAAACACCTTACCCATCTATTCTCAGAAATTCGTGGCTCTTTTTCTTTCTTCCCAGTGAGGAATGGTCTATGGGTCAAAGGCACAGCATCTATTTTGCATCTCAGCTTTTATAATTTTCATCAACACATGAAGACAGCTATCTTAAAGCTAAGCAATTCTACTTGTCTTTAGGTCCCAAAAGATAATCTATATCTAAGTGCTTCTGGATTGAAAAAAAAAAAAAAAAAGCATTTGCTATTTTACTCTTTTCTTATTTTATTTCCTACGTAAGTATAATACACCACAGCAATTTACTCAGCTGGCTCTGCTTGCCTGGCTCTGTGCTTCACCCTTGGGCTCTCCGTCTGAATTGCTGGCCCACCTTCCAAGGGCCAGCTCAAATGTTACGGCCTTGATAAGCCCCTTCTCTGATGAGCTCCTTCTCCTAAACCCATTTCCCAACCTGTAGATACATGCTTGTATACAACACTCCTAAAATATAAGTAACATGACACCAAAACTGATGTCTCCTTCATTTGTTCATTCACCGTTCAAACATTAAGCATTACAAATTCTCTGCTACACACAGGAGAAACGGTAATGAACAAGATAGGCTAGGCTCAAGCCCTGACCTCATGGAACTTGTATCTTAGCAGGGGAGACAGCAGTTTAATAGCTAATTACACATTTGCTTACAAGCCAGGAAGGTGCTATGAAAGGAAAATGTAGAAGGATACGATAATATATTTTAAAAGGGTGAGAGAAGGGGAGTTCAGGAAAAGCTTCTCTGGAAATTGGTATTTTAAGTTAATATTTTAAGTTATATTTGAGTAGGTGTTAGCAAAGTAGTGGGGAGTAGGGGGAGGGCAGGGTATACCAGGCGAGGGAATAGCACGTGCGACATCCCTGGCACATACCACCACGTGGCTGGCTGAGGACACTGCCTTGCATACAAAGGCACCTAGCACACATGGATAAAGTAAAGGAAATGATAATACTTATTTCAAACAAAATGATATTATTTTGTGTAATAATATTTTGTTTCAACATTCTAACATGTCCAACTCTTAAAGGAGAAGCATCAGGAGTAAAATCAAGGTTTTTGTATTTTTAGTAGTAGAGACAGGGTTTTGCCACGTTGGCTAGGCTGGTCTCGAACTGCTGACCTCAAGTGATCTGCCCGCCTTGGCCTCCCAAAGTGCTGGGATTACAGGCTTGAGCCACCGCGCCCAGCCTGGACTACAGGAATTTAATCAGCTTGAGCACATCAGCCTGTTTTACAGCCTCCTGCCCCACAGCTGGTTTTTTTCCAAACCCCATGAAGAATGCGGTCACCTGGTTGGCTGGAACCAGTTTACGACATGTCAATTTACTGAAGAGTCAGAATATGATAATAATTAAAGTGGCTCTGGAATCAGATGGGTTTTAAATCTAAGCTCCATTTCTTACACGAGGTGGGAGACCCTGGGCAAGTTACTTAACTTCTCTGTGCCTTATTGTTTTCATCTGCAAAAGAGAATAATAATAATATTTTAAAAAATAGTACCCCCCCCCCCACACACACCTCATAGGATAGTTGCAGGGATTAGGTGAGATTTAAAAACTGTGACAAGCTAAGAGCACTCTATGAAAGTCAGCACTAATCATTTACTGAAATCAACATATCTGTAAATCTTCTCTAGGTCCCTAAATAAATGAATATTTATTGGAGTTTACATGAATAGTACTAACAGGAAAAGAGAAAGTATAATTTTTATTTTTTGACTTCTACCCAAGGAATTTCCCTTGTGAGTATGTCTATATATAGCATTGCCAGTGAAAAGTAGAGCAAAGAACAAGATTTCCAAGTGATAAAATTATATTTCCGTTTCAGTCATAATTACATACCTTCATAGCTACTCTCATGAATTACAAGCATCATTTCTCCTCTGTCTTCACTTTCAAATACCTACAGTGTTGGAATCCTTTGGCAATCTTCTATAAATTTCAAACTGGGGCAACTTAATTAGAATCCTGACTTTTCTCCCTTCCACTAGCAATTGCTTAAGTTTTTGAAAAACATCATTAAAACAAAGGATGCATTGAGTATGAGAACATCGGGCTTTATTTGTTTCTGAGACAAGATCATGGGGAGGAGAGAGACTTACAAATGATAAATAGACTTGATATTTAGACTCATCTGGCCTTGATTTCCAGCTTGAGAACCTTCATTTAATATTGAGAAAGACCAGGCTTCATCTTATATCTCACAGTTCTGCACGGGGTTGGTCAACCTACCAACATTTTATCCCATCCAATAGAGCTAGACAAAAAGCAAAATTAAAAAGAAGCAGTAGGGGCAACTGGACTTGAATGGAAGAATAACCATAAATTAATGGTCTATTCATCCCTCCTTGGGCTGCCTTGCTGAGGCTGTGTCCTGTGCAGGTGGCCAAGGCTGCCTAATTAGTGCTTGCGCAGAATGGGGAGTCTGGTGAGACTGCCAAGTGCACCAGTGTTGAGCTTCTAATTTGGACACTTACCACTTTTTTGACTTTTTTTTCTTGGTAAAAGCCTTTTTTAGCTCACACACCATACAATTCACCCACTTAAAGTATATAATTCAAGAGTTTATCATACATCCATAGGATTGTGTGATCAGTGCCACAATCAATCTTAGAACATTTTCATCACCCTGAAAGAAACCCCATATTGGTTAGTAACCAATCCCTTCCTAAACACCCCCATGCACCTAATCCTAGGTAATGACTAATCTACTTTCTGTATCCATAGATTTACCTATTCTGAACATTTCATAAAAATAAAACCTTAAAATATGTGGCCTTTTGTAATGGGCTCTTTCACTAGGCACAATGTTTTCAAGGTTCATCCATGTTGTGGCATGTTTCAGTACTTCATTCCTTTTTATGGCCAAGTAATATTCCAATGTATGGCTATACCACACTTGGTTTATCCATTCATCAGTTGATAGACACTTGGGTTGTTTCTACCTTTTGACTGTTATGAATAATGCTGCTATGAACAATCATGAGCCAGTTTTTGTACAAATATGTGTTTTTATTTCTCTTGTGTATACACATACACCTAGGAGTGGAATTGCTAGCTCAAATTTTCTTGGTGTTTTAACTTAAAAACAAACCTTATACCAAATTAAACTAAATGACAGCACTTTGTAAATAATAAATCACTTATAAAAATAAGGTTTCACTTTAACTGTCTTGTAGAATATTTAATCTCCTAATTTATTCTAGTAATGTTGAATCCATTTCTACTGTGGACTTTGTACTGTGCTATGTGTTGGGAGTAAAGATTCAAAGAGGACTGAGACATGGACCCTAAACTGGAGGGGATTACCGTCTATACAAATAGCTAACATACTCTAAGCCAAGCATGATACTAAATGTTTTCTATGTATCAAATCCTTGACTACTAATACTACCCTATGAGGTAGATACTATTATCATCCTCATTCTGCAGAGAACTTAAGTAACCATCCCAAGGTCACACAGCTGGTAAGTGGCAGAGAACCATCACACTTTGTTGCTCTCCCAGGCTGCCTCTCTAGCAACAGTATAACACACAAGAGTTAACAGTGTGTCATCTGGAGTTAGATATCCTGGGTTTGAGTGCTACCTCCCCCACTTACCATGTGACCTTGGGCAAATGAATCACACTTCCTACGCTTCACATGCCTAATCTATAAAGAGAGGTTAATCCAAGAACCTATTTCATAGAGTTGATATAAGGATTAAATGACATAAACATGTATTAGTTGCTTGACATGTAGTTAGTGCTCAATAAATATTAGTTGTTGTTATTATCCATAAAAACTCTATAAGCAAATCATTACAAAGGCATGTGATACATTTCAAGGGCTGCCAAATGTCGCAATTTATCTCTGCTGGGAAGGAAAAAAAAATGTCAGGCCAAACTGCAGAAACAAGCCTGTTTGCCTCCTTTTACATGAATTCCGTCCATTGACATTAACAACCGAAGTCTTAAAAGCTGGATTCTGTGTGTCTCTTCCACTTCCATTTCTAGTGCTGTTGGGGAGCCTAATGCAGGGTGGTGATTTGTATTCTGCAAGTGTCTCTTGTCTCATCATGAAAGGGGCCCATCTGTCTGGTCTTTGGGTAGGTTTGGAACATGACACCCAGGGGATGGGGGTGGCAGCAGAGGAATCAACCCAGGCACCCACAGAGGTGTCAGCCAGGCAA